TATCTTTTACTTCCCCGGACTTTAAGATCCATGGTACTTAATCCTCTCATTTTACTTGTGTCATACAGAGAGCAAAACTGAACAGCAGGCTGGGGCTCACATCAATTCCCATTCCAGAAAAAGCTACTGTGCTTTATTAGATGACACTCCTTTCCAAGTGCTGCAACATCAATTCCTCAAGCTTTCCTTAAGGAGTCACTTGAAAAATCTGTAGAAATGACACTTAGAGTTGCATGCGTTGCCTTCTTGTGAGCCATTATGGAAAAACAGACAATATTTTGCCTCTAGAATTTCCCCGGATTTACACCTTCAATAGCCATTAATCAAAAATGCAGCTTTGCTAATTTTTCTTGCATAGGTGTTAAGGAATCTGAAAGTCCTTGATTATTGAATTTTAAAAATTCAAAAACTAGCCATCTTCCATATTAACATCTTATGTAAAACATAGAGAAAGGGAGTTCAACTAACTAGTAATAAAATCTGGACTAGAAGACCCTAGTTCTGTGAGTAGCAGTCAGTTCCATATCCAAAAATGTCACTGATACTCAGAAATTCCAAAATTAGATTAATTAGAAACAAGGTAAGTGCTACAACCACAGTCCATTTATCTTTCTTGGAAGCTACATATCCTGGCAGAGAAATCATTTACTTTTAAAGAATTCTAACATTCTCTAAAATATAGGGATAAACTCATATAATTTCACAATATGCCTGAAACAGATATGCAAGTTATTGGAGGCTTGGAAGGGGGTAAAATCAACATTCAAAAAAACTAAAGCCAATCCAAGACTCTCTTATGAAAGATAATGCACCACATGCATCAACATAGATTATAAGAGTGATCTTAACTTGAGCTTGAGATTTAGGGGGTCTTTTCTAAACAAAGCCATATTTTTCTAGTCATATGATATAAATATGTTGTGAAAGATAGGGAGTTGTGGGAAACAGGGAAATAAAGATGCAGAGACTCAGGGATCTCAGTTACTCATAAATCATGTGAATATTAATTTGAGTTTATTACTCTGGAGGCAAATAGATATGACATAAGATTTGAATCAACAGCAGGGAGAAATAAGAATTAAAGCTTTAGAATGGCCTGATTGAGCAGTTATGGGATGAAAAAGAAGACTCTACTGCACAATCGTATCCCAGATAACTTCTAAGGTTTAGTTAAACAATGCCAGCAAGAGTTATTATTTAGTGTCTCTCTCAGGTACCACTAACTTGGAAGGCTGTTTGCCCAATGGAGGCTGAGTGGCTGGTGTGCGCACGTACGCTTGGCCAATAGTAGAATGAGAGCCTACAGATGCATTGCACGGAGATTATCCGGTTTGCCACAGCTCTCCTTTTGGGCAGACTCTTCTTTTCTAGAGAGAAATACTTGAAAAATTTTGCCATTATAAGAATAGAAAATTGTGGGTGTTTTGCTGATGCCGATTTCACACTTCACACTTTTATCAAACAAATATACCAATTAAAGAGTTGATCCTATGACCAACTAGTGTGATGATCTTTTTTTCCAGACTCATGGTTCAAGGGTAGAAGATAAAGGTGGGGTAGCCCGACGAAATGGGCTAAATCTCAATCAGATTTTATTGCTCATCCATTTGCTAATGTAACTGCAGCTTGACTAACAGTAACTGTGGTTTATCATCCGCATCCTCATCACCATCTATGACAAGACAAACGAAAATGCATGGATCCTTCATTGTGACTACCACCCCAGCTTTGCAAGCAAGTCCCACTCAGTAAGACAGTTCTTGGACAAGTACTCACAATGCTTCAAGTTAGACATTTGAACCCATTGTGTAGAAGCACTGATGGGGAAAGATTTAACTGCAGGAACTTGAGAGCTGCTGCACATCAGTGTGGTTGGAGAGGAGCAGATGTTCTGTTGGAAGAAGATGAACGGGATTCTACAGCAGTGGTTAGAGGGGTTAGGGCTTGAACACACCCCACTATCCCCCCTGCAAAATACACATACTTATGAGAGACTTATCATGGGAAAATCTGCCAAACCTAAATCATGATACCTTCAAGAGGCATCCTAATGTTAGGGGTAGTGGCTGAATCTTAAAGTATGATAGTGTCTTATGTATAAGTCTAAAGGGATTTAGTTCATTTGAAATCCAGGCCACCCTATGGTAATGGTCTTCCATCAGTATCTGTACCAAAAAAATAAAAAATCAAACCACATGCAGTATTCAAGATGTGTTTCTTTACTTATGCTAATGAACTCTGTTTCCTGTTTCCTGAGAACAGATAGGCCTGAGGATAGTCCCTATAAGCTACCATTCAAGCCATGCCCTCCTGGGTTGAACCCTAATCTGGCTGAAGGCCTTTGCTCATGGACACCTGGATGCTTCCTTTAAAGACTAAAATTCAGCAGATCGGGGCTCACGTGGCACACTAAGCAGATGTGAGAGGAGGCCCCTCTTGAGGCAGAATAGGAAGTTCTATCTGGTGTCCCCATCAGTTATGGCAAAGCTAGTTCTGTAAGAGACATGCTCTTGAATAAACAGAGACTTAAAGAACCACAAGACGAGAAGGGAAATTGAGTTGGCAAACAAGTGAAATGAAGTCTTCCTCATGAATGTCACTTTACAAAGTTGACATTGTCACTTTACAAATGACTCCTGGGAGGATGATGATAGAGTGATCAAAGCATGCTTTGTTGCTACAAAAAAGAAAGTTTTGATTCAAATGGAGGTTATTTGCCACTGTATTCGCTTGTCCCAGCAAAGCCTAAGAAGCATCTCTTTGCCGATGCTTTGGTTTATTTTATTCAGAGGTGTTCCTGGGCACAAGTTTAGCAATATGGAAATTACCTGTGTATTTTCCACTCTCTTTCAGTGAGCCATGATGTGAATGCAAATCCTCTGATCAGGGACTGCAGAAGTTCCAGTCATGAGAGACCTAGGAAATCTCATCCACCCACTCTTATTCTAAGGAGCCAGTCCCAAAACTCTGACTTTAGCACTTCTAGAAGATAACAAAGGAAGGACACCAATTCAGGCAAAATCTGTAAGGCTCGGCTAGACTGTTCCTTACCATTTTCCTGGGAAGAAGTTGGGGTATCTGGGGCAGAAGGACACACAAAAAAAGCATAAAGTCAGTCTTTTCTCAATTTTTTTAGCAACCACTGGAAATGGATGGATGTCCATGTAGACATTTCCTAGTCCTCTCAGGTGGAATTACTCTAAGTACAGTAATTCCTAAGTGATTCAGCTCTGACTTGATTTCTGTCTCTTAGTGAATCTACAGCTATTATTTAATTCCCTGAATGAATCAGAGGAGCTTAGAATTATTAGAATATTATTTTGTATTAATATTTACTTTTCCTCTTAATTTTTGGCTAGAGGCAAGCTTTGGAGAGCCAGGCAAGGAAGCAAATGAGTTCCCCAAACACCAGTTGATGGGATTTGGGATTATTCAGTTCCAACCCACAAGTCTTTTATTTTTTTTATTTTTTTAATGATAGCTGCCTGATGCTGTGTCCCTCAAATACTTGCATGTAAAAGCTTGTCCCTAACTGGACTTGACATTTGGCCCAGGCTATGAGGTGAGTGTTTGGGCACAAGCAGTAAGCTGCCAGCTTTGGCCGGGGCCTTCCGGAGGCATTGGAGACCCAGGCCCTGTGAGACCCCCACACCCCCACCCTGACTTCTGTTAGGAGGATGAAAGGGGTTTCTGGCTGTCCTGGCTGTCAGCAGAGCACCTGCTGCAGAGAGAGCCCCACTCACGCCAACAAAGGGCCTAAAGAGCAGCCGCCTGAGCTGGGAGCCCGTCTTCCTCCACGTTCTGCGCGCCTGAGCCAGCCAGGCTCTGCTCCCCGTCTCCCCCCGCTTGAGAATGAGGTACCACACCAGGTGAAGAGGGACATGGAACACTTTTTAATGTCAAGTCAGAGACAACCCCTCCCTCCCCTAACCCCCAATCCCACTTTCCCTCGTCACATCCAGGACCCCTCCCCGAGGCCTCTCTGGTCCCCAGACTTCAGGGGAGGAAAAAAGATGATCTAAAAACTGCATCTTCTTCTCTTTCATACACACGCACACAAAGGTGGGAAATTAAATAAAATAAACCAAGAGGATTCAATTCTCCAGTGGTCACAAAGGCATCAGAGATTCCCATATGGGCTAAAGCAAGTGGTTACTGACTGTTTAGTTGGTTCAGTTGCTCGTTTGTTCGTGATGGAGACGCGAGGCGCCTGAGGCGGCCTCTGAGAGCCACACCTGGAAAAGATGCTGCGCCTGGTATTAGTGTAGTTTTTCTCTTTTCGCTTTTTATAAACGTCTCTGACATGTGAATAACCCAAGAAAATAAAAAGGCAGGAGCTGATTACACAATTACCAGTAAACTCTATCATCTTTTTAGAAGATCAACACACAGCTAACGCCATATACAGCATGCAGTAATGTCTGAGAAAGGACCCTGCTGAGAAAGAAAATGGCTAGGACTCTAACAAAAAAAATATATGTATATATATACTGTATAATATATGTCATCAAAGGAAGCATAGCCAACAAACGCAAGATAGAGTGCAGATCACCCTTCCGTTTCTAAACAGCATGGAGAAGCATAGCACTGTCTGCATTGAATGCCAGAATAAGGAGAAATCTGTAGCGCTGGTGGAGATATTGGTTAAATCGTATGTGTTTTTTTGGTGGATTTGCCAAATCCTCACCAGGTGGTTAATGCCCAGTGTGTGGTCCACCAGTTGTAAACCTAGTTAAGAAGTGCACTATCCATTCTTAATCCTTTACAAACATACTTCTCTTCACCCCTTTCATCTGTGTGTTTTTTGTTTTGTCTCGTTTTCTTCCACTAAGTTCTAGACTCATATCAGAAAATATAATTAATAAAATTAATAATGAATCAGAATCCCTTATTATCCATGACGTCCATGTAGTAAAATGGAAAAAAAAAAAAAAAAAGAAGCATTTAACAATATCTGTTGTGACTGTTGATTGTGGGATTTTTGTAGCTGTCAGGCTGTCTTGTCTAGGTTCCTTTTTATTTATTTATTTTTTAAATTTCATTTCAGAACACACACAACCGTGGCACAGTCTATGGAAGGACCCCGGGGCGCATCGGGGCCACACGTCTCACTCTGTGTTCGCCTCTAGTGACTGATTGAATTTGGGGTGGCCGACTCCAGAATTTTCCTTGGTAGGGGCACGTTAGTGGCAGAGTGGCTGAGCCCTCGTCCACCTGGAAACAGAGGTCACGCAATGCAGCTTGCGGGTGGGTCCAAAGCCGGGTGTGCGCTCCTCCCATTTGGGGAAAGAAAGGAAACTCAGCTGTACCTACACATCTGCAAGGCCTGCAAGGCGATTCTCAATTTCCTTTTTAAACGTGTTTGCCCAAAGTCTTCTTGGTTCCCCTCCCTCGAATTTGTGTCCCGATAGGATCTGTTTCTCTGAATTTCCTCTGATTACATCTGACTTAGAAACGGGTTTGCTCTTGCTGTTGTCGGAGTTGCCGTTGCTGTGGTGTCGGTGGTTGCGGTGGCAGCAGCTTTTCCCCGGTAGGGAGAGTGGCACTCACATCAAAATTTGAGGAGTAAGAAGACCAGGAGAGGGAGCAGCCAAATGCAGCCCGCCCTCCTCGATGTCCCATTGTTCACTTCGCTGACAGCGCCTGGGCCTGCAGAGAGAACACACTAGTCATGAGCAGCTAGTATGAGAGAATGGCCGTTGCCTGGTTTGCTGTCCTTAGGCCTCGCGTCTGCTAAGGCATCGCTCTAACTGGGAGCATCTGCTGTTCCCGCGCCCTGTGCAGGGGACTGCGTTACAAACAAAGCTCCTATAGCTTTTGGAGGCTCCCCATGATCCCCTGGATGCACGGCGTATCATGGGGAGCCTTCCCGGGCAAGGAGAGAACACGAAGCTGAGGTTAAAGTGTGCTGGTGGCCACTGCTCCTTCACTGAGTCATGTGCTAAGGCTATGGCTCAAGGTCCAGTTCAAGAAGAAAGGGCCTATTTGTTAATATCCTACACAGAGCTTCCATAAAGCGAGACCCTGCCTCGTTTGCATCATCAACCAACCACTTCTAAGCACTGCCTGCCTTAAACATGCACATAACCGTCCAGCTGCTCCACCTGTTGCTCTGGAAAGGACCTGTTGGACATTACAATCTGCCTCCCTGCTGCTGCTGCGCAGGGCTCAGCGTCCTTCTGTCTGCGGCTGCGTCTCAGGGCAGAGCACCAGGTTTCCGCCCGGAGCACTTGGCCTCTTCCCCATCTGGTCTAGGTAACAGCAGACCTAGCTCAGGCATCACATGTCTGAAAAGACAAACCCAGCTCACATGAAGTGGAGGTGGGAACAAGTAAAGGAACAGATGGCCTTTTGCGGTGCCCATGGATGTAAGGGAAGGTGTAAGTGGAAAGGGGGCTGCAGAGCCTGCCAGGGGGTATGTCTGAGAGTGGAGATAGAGGGCACCTTGCCCCTCGAGGCACGCGCCAGCCTGGCCTGCGAACACACTCTTTGAAACAAAGCCAAATGTGGGAGGCAAGAAAATGATGGGATCGTAAAATTCCCCAGTAGCTCGCCTATCATTGTGAAGCATGAGATTACTGGCTACTTCAGTCCAGTGGCCAGAGCACCCACGACCAATAGAGCTATGATTCATGAACAGTACACACAGGTTTTGAGGCCCCGATGAATTAGGTGCCCGAGAAAGCAGGGCACCTTCTCAGACTGGAATTGCCCTGGCATGCTGTGCTGCAATGAATTTAATGGACATACGGCTGGTGTCCTCACTAAGTCCATGTCCTCACCTGGGGTGAAGGAACAAAGCCAGACACTGCTCGCTAGACTTGGATGCTGAGCGTCAGACCAGGCTTCTGGCTTCCATATGAGACTATTCCATCAAAGCCTAAAACTCCTGCCTTGGGAGCACTACCCATGGGGATTGTATTTCCTAGGCCTTAGGGAGAAATCTGGTTATGGGGCAGTAACAAGTCATCATGAGTTTGAGATGCAGCACATCCTCCAACCTCATGTGTCCTGTTGTCTGAGTCACAATATTCCCAAGGCCAGATTTTTGGGCACTGCTGTTCCCAATGAGAAGCACCAGGAGGCCTATTTCACCCTCCACCCAGCAGGGAGGGGAAGAGCCCTCTTTAGGGTCCCCACTCTGTTATCTACACAGCAGTCTTTGGAATCCCAGGGGAGAGGCCACTCCCTGATGCCTTCTGGGGGCGAGGTTCTGTTTCTGTCCTGTGAGGAAGCCCTTCTGCTCTGGGCCATTCCAAGATCCCTCACGGCAAGACTCTTGCCTGGGCCTGAGGCTGACTCTGAGACACACTTTGTGTCTGAGCCCGCAGGACCAACAGGCCTCCGTGGGAGCCGGGTCCCCTGTGTAAGCAGGGCAGAGGCAGTGGCTGGATTCCACCTCCCACGGGCCCATGGCACAACCATCCTGAACGTGCGCAGCACGCCTGGCACACGGCACTCCTGGCCAGACATGCATCTGTGCGCACGTGGCCCTTTTTCTCTTTCATCTCTTTGCTCTGCCCAACACTCACACAGCTTTGAAATCCACTCCCCATTCACCCCAGCACATCCCTTCCCTCTCCCTGTCCCCTGGCCATGGCTAAGAAGAGGCCCTGCGGTAATAGAGAAGGGGGCAAAGGACACTCCCCAGCATCTTGATATTCTCTTGCACACCCTCCTTTCAGAGACCACCTGCAGGATTCTTCGGGGAGGAGGACGGAGGATGCCCCAAGCCAGGCGGGCAGCTGCGCACGGGCCTGGCTCGGTTACCGCCTGAGAAAAGTCGGGACATCTCTGAGTGAAAGGGGCAGGGTGCGAGATTATAGAGAGTGGCGAAAACCCCCGCTGGAGGCGTTCCAGTTCATTGAAAAACAATGCTTTAAAAGAAGTAAAGCACATTCACCGGGGAAAATTACAGGCCAGGGACTCCGCGGTGATGCAGAGGAGGCTGTTCTGACTGGCAACTCCCCACCCAGTACAGCTTACCTGGCAGAGCTGCCCTACAGCTCCGCGTTCAGGTTCAGGGTTGCTGGCCTGAGAGCTCCCTTGCGGCTCTGCCGCCTGCTGGGCAGCACCGCACAGGGCCTGTGGGGAGGGCTCTTGCCCTACTGGGCCTGCTGGGTCAGAAGATGCTTCCCATGGGAGGAAGGGCAAGGCCACTGAGTGCCCCAGAACCTCTGGTGGTGCGTTGTTACCCTGGACAAGCTCCCAGGGCCTCTCTGTTGCTCCTGTTCTCTGTCTCCTGTCCCAGACTCATGGCAGGGGGGTGAGGCTGTCACGCACTGTGTGGGGCCACATCCAGCCTTTCTTCACCCCTCCACACATTGTCTCCCCTCCCCCCAACCCGCCCTTCTCTCCAGCACGTCCAGGAAACCTGGCCTGCGCAGAGCTAGACAGAAAGGGGAACAGAGAAGGGGGTCCCCCCACACCCTCCCAAAGAAGACTGCCCAAGCAGCGCCCTTTTCAATTTCTGTGAAAGGTCCCATATCAGGCCTTGACCACCCAGGTTTGTTCTTCATGATGATTCCAGCCTGCTGTTTCGGCACTCCCACACTGGCCACGCGGCAGTTCTGCTGGCCCCCTGCTGCCGTCAGGAAACCTCCCGGCGGCTCAGTAGAGCCGTGCGGCTTTCATAATCTGCTTCTTTTCTGCCCCCTGGGCGACTCTCCCTGCCATGTGTTCCTCAGTTTCTCCCCACCCCAACTCCACACTATGCAAGCATGTGTCACTTGCACACACACATGCACACACACACATGAGTGTGTAACCTCCAACCATATTCCTTTCCTTTTTTTTTTAAGATTTATCATTACTATTATTATTATTTTTATTTTTAGAGAGAAGGGAAGGAAGGGAGAGAGAGGGAGAGAAACATCAATGTGAGAGAAACATCCATTGGTTGCCATTTGGACATGCCCCACCCAGGGATGGAACCTGCAACCGAGGCTCATGCCCTGATTGGGAATTAAACCTGCAACCTTTCACTTTGTGGGGCAGCGCCCATCTGAGCCACGCCGGTCAGGGCCGACCATATTCCTTTTCCTTCTCATCCACACACTTTCTGCCTCTGCCTGAAATGCTCTTCACTCAACTCATCCACAGGTCGTTCTGTCACCTCCTCCAGGCAGCCTTCCTTGACTTGCTGTGGTTTGTTTCCACAGCACCACACGCATCCCACTGTTAAAACGCCCACTACTCTGTGTTATAATTCTCTTTATTCACCTAACTTCTGTATTTCCTCCTCCGTGCTATACGCTCCTTAAGGCAATTTATGTCTAACTGGGCCCGGGGCAGGTGATAAATGCTTGCTGGAGGAAAGAAAGAGCCAGAACATTGTCCTGCAGGTAGACAAATGCGTGTTTAGTCTCTGTGTGGTTTTCTTCCACCTTCAGATTTTACTTGGAGAAGAAAAGCCTGTAATAAAACATAAACTCTTTCTCTACCTAGCCTTTTGTTTTACCTCAATTTTCTTCCAAACACCTTTCCCTCTTTTTCTCTTTTCTTTTCTTTCTTTTCTTTTTCCTTTCCTTTCCTTTTCCTTTCTTTATTTTTTTGAAAATCCCCATCTGCTTGAATGTGTCTTAGCAACAGGTATACATTCTTCTTTGTTTGCATGGTTCAAACCAAACCAAACCAAACCCAAACACGTATTTCCTTTTTCCATTGCTTCAAGGTAAGAATTTGTTGTCCCCTCTTTTCCAATAAAAGTCACTGTACATTCCTGTGGCTGAGGTCAGGTATACATAGGAGTAAAACCATATGGATTAGGATATCAGGCAGAGCGCTCGCAGTTAAAAAGGTGTCCCAGCCCCTTAAAGAACATGCATGTACTAGGTTAAGACTAGTATCTGCACTCTGCTATGTGGGGACTTCACCTCAGTGCTTAGGCGATTTTCCTAAGGTCCCTTGACTTCCATCTCCAAACGCAATTGTATTTCCATTACCTCATAATGTCTGCTCTGTGTGACCCATTCACCTGCAGGAAGTGAAGAGTGGGAAGAGTGTGAGGACTGAGCTGGCCCCACCTGGGCACTGGTTAAGGTGGGGACCACACTGGCCGCCCCCACTGCTCACCCCCACTGCTCAGCACATGGAAGCAGCTATGACAGGAAGACCTTTCTTCAGGCAAGTATGGATCAAGCATCCTGGAGCAAGGCCCTCCCAGAGCCTGTGCTGACCAGAGTGGCTGCTCAGCCATCTACCTGGTGACAAGTGCCACATGAATGAAGTCTCTGTTCTTCAACTAGTCACCCCTCCACTCCACGTAGGACGTCTCTATCTCCTTAGGCAGCTACAGAAGCCTAGAGAGATGTACTATCAGGACAGTGGGGGTCTCAGCAAACTGTGATGAGTGTCAGTTATTCATCAGAAACATCTGGCAAGAATGAAAGCCTCAGATAAACTCCTTTTGTCCGTAGCCACATGACTCACACAAGAACCTCCCCCTTCATTCCACTTTCCTCTCCCTCCAACCGCTCCCCTTCCAGTTGAGAGAGAGAGAGAGAGAGAGAGAGAGAGAGAGAGAGAAACAATGTAAGCAAAGGGCAGCATGCAAGGTCTAAGAAGATCGTTGCATTAGAGCATCCGTGTGCAAGGAAAGAGGCAGGCCTGGTACAGCAGCACCCAGACATAAAGCTATTCTGGGCACTGACAGGTGCTCATTAGTTGCCAGCAGAGAAGTTAGGCTTCTGCCAGTGGAAGCTACCCAGGGAGAATGGATTGTCCTTGGGGATGGGTTAATCTAAATTGATGGAGAGACAGCCCAAGGGCAGGGCTGGGGGCCCACTGGGCTGCCCTCTGGGGTTAGCTTAGAAGATAAGGCATTTTGCAAGCAGGCAGAGTTTTGCATATCCCATCCTCACCAAGGCATAGCTGCCTAAGAAATAAATATACCAACCTTTCCAAGGGATCAGAGCTGTAGATTTCACTTCTAAAAGAAATGAAAAACATGCCACTGTTAAGGGAGAAAGCAGTCAGAGGCCTCGTGTTGCCCTCAGACGATTTGGGGAACGAGCCAGCACTCCCAGCCCCCTTGACTTCTCCGTCAGCTGTCCCAACCACAGCCCACACGTCACCCGTGCTGGAAAGTCAGCCACCATAACGGGCGAGTTGGGGAAAGACATAAATGATATTCAGATGAGATCGCTGACCCAAAGTGAGACAACAGATCTGCCTAGTCTTAGCAGGGGACTTGGGGAAACCTTCAAGCCTGAGGCCCCAGACCAATAAATACTTGTTTGTAGAACAACTGGCTTTCTTTGGTTACCGACAATCCCCTAATTATTTGAAGTCTGCAGGCCTTAAGGATAAAATTGGTGCCCACAACTGGATTATATTATAGTGATTTGAATGCAAGTGCCCGTGCCGCATTTGGGGTATAAAAGTGTGCCTGGCATTCATGTGTGCGTCTCACAAACACTGCTGAGCTAGGTTACAGGTGCCAGGAGACCCCAGACCTTGGCTATCAGACGTCTCTTGATGAGTCGGACTCCATTGAGCTGGCGCAGGGGACTTCTTCCCTCTGGGCCAGCCTGAGGCTGTAAGACCTGCAGCTATACTGTTACACTTGAACTTGCTGGGACCCACCCATGGAAATACTGGGATCCCAGTTCTTCTCTGCTGAATAGACTACAACAGACCCCTTTTCCTCAACTTCAAGCTCTCAGAACAATCTACAGAGCCCTTTTGGCTGAAAACATGTCTTGACTGGCCTGCAGTGGTGATAATCTCTAATTGTTTACTTCCCTTTTTAGCTAGAGGCCTCTGCAGTTGTTCGCCTTGGATATAAAGAGGATGCAAAAGTCTTTCATAGTGTATCTGTATTTCAAGTCACCACAATGTGCATTTTAAATGTCTTACAATTTGTCATGTGTACCTTAGTAAAGCTGTGAAAAATGAGTAAATGACGTGAAAGTCTCTTGCATTGAAGTAATATCATTCTCTGTGCAAAGATCCTCACTTGTGGAAGGAAAGACAAGTTAGATAAAACTTGACCCAAACTCAACTAAGACATTCAACTAGAATCAGAATACACACTTCTGCATTCAAATTCTCCACTATCCTTTGAAGGTACCTGAGATATGATCTCTTGATCTAAGCGGATGTTAGCAAACCTGAGAAGGCCATTCTGAAAAAGAGTAAGGAGTGATCTATGATCAAAGATCAAAAGGATGACTCAGAAGAGATCTTACATGGAGTCAGGGTGGCAGAGGAAGACAGAGATGCAGGTGCTGCGCCGTGTGTTTGGCAAGGGTAGTTCCTTGAGTGACGGTCAGGCATAGAAGGAAGCCCAGGAAGGGCTGTTTTCATGAATTGTCTCATTCAGATGCCACTGACTTGAGTCTCCCTCTGCCCAGACGGCAGGTAATGGGAAGGAGAGAGGACAGTCGGAAGAGAGACTCTTCAAGGGATAGAGCAGCCATAAACCCTTCACCCCAGGCCAGAAGCAGAGCAAGAGGAGGGTCCATAGAGAGACAGGTGCTGGCTTAGATTCTGCTGGAGGAAGAGCACAAGGAAGAGTTCTGTTTGGTAATCTGACTTGTTGGAACTATCCAAAGAGAAAAGGAAATAAATTAAAAGTATAAGTTTCTGCAGTGCTCTAGGTTTCAGAAGTGACTTTCTATAAGGTAAATTAAAATCTCAAAACAACTTCAGCCTTATTTTTCCCATCCACCTCCTTCTTCCCTTCTGAATCTCCAACACATGCTACTTGAAAGAAGGCCAACACTCTAGCGCCTGCCCACACAAGTAAAGGACCACTGGGCACTCATCCTTGACCTTAGCTAGAACTTACCCTTAGGATTTCCCAGGTAGCAACTTTTCACCTCTTCTAGTTAGCGAGAATGCATTCCTGTCCTGGCTATTATCTCACCAACAAGGGGGAAGTGTGGCCAGGTTATGCTTTATATTTACACGAAATTCCTCCTGGTATATTTTAACCCATTCCCTGTGACTTGGTACTAGGAAGAGATGTAGAATTGCGAACACTGGAATGCTCGATGCACTGTCACCGCTGGGTCCATCTTCCAGGGGTGTAAGTCCTGCTTGGGCTTCCAGAGTGAGGACCCGCCATAAACTCAAGCCCCTGAGTTAACCTTTGGCTTTCAAGAAAACAAACAGTCGCTAAAAATCTAAGTCTGCGTGTTCCTCACCAAGAGCTTAACTAAAATTTGGGATCTTTCTGTTGATATATTAATGACAAGACAGGCAGAGTCAGAACAAAGTATTCGAAAAAAAAGAAAAAAAATAGATAAAAGACAAAAAAATGAACCCCTTCCCCAAGCTTCTGAGCCAATGTTTCTGGTCAATCATAGAGAGATCTTTTTGGCATTAAAGCCAATGTTTGTTGCTGAATCCAGGTACCTCTGTGAGAACACTGGGCTGCCATCTGATTCCTGTGGACAGAGGAGGGCTGGTTTCATGTCTGGATGAACATATAAGGAGGGACCACAAAAAACCCGGAATTTATTTATAAAAAATTGTGTGTTTATTCTTCCATGTTTAAACTTCAGTCACCTTCAAAGCGCTCTCCATTTTATGCAATACACCTATAGTGACTTTTCCCCCACTGCTCAAGTTTTTGAATTCATCAATTTTGATGCCTTTCAGTGTTCTGCCATTTTTTGTTTCCCCTCTCCCACGTAGGCAAAATGTTTCCCTTTGAGAACTGTTTTAATCCGGAGAAACAAACAAACCAAAAAAAGAGTCTCTCAGGTAAATAGGGAGGTATGAGGGGGTTCTGCCATTTTTGGTCAAAAACTGCTGAACACTCAGTGCAGTGTGGGCAAGTGCGCTCGTATATCACCCATCATGAAATGGGCAAACACATTGAAGGAGTTTTCAAAAAAATAATTCTTCTGAACCCAAACAGCTTCTCACAATGCCAGCTGGTGCCCTGATACAGATGGGTTCCTAGAACACTCACCTAGCGGGGGAAACCTGTAGTGCAAGGGGCCTACCCTCCAGAAGAAAATGTTTTGTTTTTTGGGGGGGTTGTCCCCCCTCATATAAACCTTCTAGAAAAAAATGGTAAGAACATTTTTTCTTTATACCTGCTAGTATTTAGACACATGTGCTATAGAAATGCTAATTGCTGGATGGCCGGGCCTAATTAACTATCTTTAATCCTCTGCAGGGAAGAACTAATCATCTCTCTACTGCAATGGTTTTTCTCCTGATACAGTTTACTTTAGTTTCCATTCTTTAATAAGTTGGTTTGACGGTCACTGTGAGGTTCACGGACGTTAATCAGCCAGCCTTTCCCAGCCCGCTGATACCATCAAGTCTGACTTAATGCCTAGGAGATGGAAGACAAAGGACCCATGGATGGGAAACAAACAGCCACCTAGCAGCTGAGTTTGCAGTGTGGGCCTGGCTCTCTCGCCCGTGAGGGAGTTCAGTGAAGGATGGTGGCGCATCTCTGAGTCCGTATTTCTCGTGGCAGGAGTCCTGTGACACCAAATATTAATACGGGAGGGTGACATGCAATCTGTTGTGTTTGCAAAAGGGGAGCAGGGAAATATTTCAAGGGTGGCAGAAAATGCTGAGGAGGAATGGCATTTTTTTATAAGGATCGTTCTAGTCTATCCAGATATGGGGCGGCAAAATAGCTTGGAACATCTCTTAAAGCCAAGTGTTCCCTGTCAGTGAAAATCCATGCCCCGGTGTAAAGCTCACTTGGTATTTCTGAGATGAAATGAGCATAGCTGGGGAGTATGCTCTGACAAAATGGGTAAGTTCTCTAGTCTAGAAAAGGAAGAGGAAGAAGAAGAAGGGAAAAAACAAACACACAGGCGAAGAAAATGTCCAAAATGCGGGGCCTGTTTTCTCTAAAATGTCCCTTAGTTGTATAAAAGTGTCCAACAGCTGTCCTGAAAACCACACTGATGCAAATTCTGGAATGTTTTGGATGCCTACAATCTGCTGCCGCCGGCCCGGTCCCATCGCTTTGCCTTCAATGAGAAGAACGAGGGGGTGAGAGCATGCTGGGAAGGGGAGCGGAGAGCTGGCTGCGAGACCCTGCCACCGGAGTTCATCGCTGACAGCAGAGCGAAGTGAGGCCGGGCAGCTCGGTCCCCGCAGGTGGAGCCGGCTGACAAGGCCGCCTGCTCCCGGTCCTCTGCGTAGCAGCCACACAGCAATTTGTTTGTTTCTGGTTGGCTTTGTTCTCCTTGTCTTTGGTGCAGGACAAGGCTCCCTCTATCAGCTCAGTACACCTTCAGTTAAACACTAGCTCCTTGGCAACCACTACCTATTCCCTCTGAGGATGAAGAACTCAGTGATCAGAATGAGCTCAGTCACTTCTAAAGGCTCATCTTGGGGCAGTGCCGTCTTTGTTCCATCTCCCCACTTTTCCCGTTCATGTCAGGTGCTTTCCTGACGCTCTCTGTGTTAGATCTGTGCCTACGCCTCACGCAGAGGTTCAACACACGCAAGCTGAATCATAAGTTGAACTTGAATATTTCCACTGAGTTCATGTTTTGTTTCTATCCCATTGTTTCATTTTCCTGTTTGTGGTTCATCACCAGAGCGCTTGACATCACTAAGGTGAACAATGCAGCCCTGAAATTTTTCATGATAAAAGTATTTTTCCTCACCTGTCCAACAGCTTCCCAGATAATTCATTTCTCCCCCCTCTTCTTCCACCTCCCAAGTCTAACGCCGTCCTCCGATGAGGGCGCAGCCGGATGGGAATGGATGAACAGGATGGTGTGGGTGGGGTGAGGTGGGATGAGAAAGATCAGGGGTTTGGGGTGGGGGGAGAGAAAAGCCATTCCCCTCATTGTCCGCACAGCTGCCTTCCTGCCGGGGAAGCGTATGGTCAGCACTGTCCTCGGGAGGAGAAAAGCAGCACGCGCAGCGTGCGTCGTGTGCCACTCAGAAGGGCCTGCTTCTGCCCAAGCGCTCAGTCACAGCCCCAGCGAATTACTCACGCTGGGCTGGTGGACCTTGAGAGAATTTGAAGGGCTGTGCAAACAGGCGGGAGATGCAGGATGCTCACAGGGAGAAGGGCTTTAAGTAGGGGAGGATGTAAGGGGGCTGGGGAGAAGGGCTTGAGAAGTGCGTTAATGAACCCCTATGTCGTTACGCTGAGAGATGTCCTTGTCTTTCAGCTTGCATCTGGAGGCTGGACTTTAATGACTCAAAATGCGCCAAGCTGTTTCAAAGCCTTTTTACTATGCATAATCAGTTGAATATTAGAACAACTCTAAAATAGATAAGGCAGATCAATTCCACTTTGTAGAAGAGGAAATTGAGTCTAAATAACATTTAGTGACTTGTCCAAGAGCATAGAACAGGACTCGGTGGCATCCCACCCCCGACTACTACTTCCTGGCCAGCAGACACACTGTGCCACGCCTCCCCCCTGCCTTGGAGGACCTCCCTGTGGACCAGCTGGTGCATTTTAGGGAATATTTGAACCTTCAGGTACCCAGCGTTTGCTTCTTTGCTGAGAGGCTATCAATAGGACTCTTGCTATGAAAATTGCTCAGTGGGTTCAAGTTGTCTTCCTATTGGTTCAGACTCACTCCATCAATGTTTTAGTTCTCTGGGCTTTGATGTGTTAATAATGTTTTTTTTTTTATTCCCCCTCCCCCGCCCCCCAGTCCTTTTGGAGAAGTGTGGGCAAGGTTGAGCAGAGAAAAGGGAGCTGTCCTTGGAGTTTCCCAGCTCCCAGTAACCACCTTTGCTTGCCCTGCCATCCTCTAAGCAACTTTACAGACCGATAATGCACACAGGGACAGGGAAAAGGGGCAGGGAAAACAGGGGCTCTGGGACAAAGGGGAGGGGGAGAAACCAAAAAGCAAGGAGGATACTGACCTTGCAACAAAGTTGAGCTCGTAGGCTCATTTAGTTCTAAATCGGGTGAGGGACATACAGGAGAGAAAAATGAAAACAAACACATATATTATATACAGTAGCTATATATTTGTCATATATAGTTTGTATACTGCCTTTTACACACATTCCTGGAGCAATGGATAAATAAAGGGAGACACAGCAACCACAGGTGGCAGGACAACATGCAGCATGGGAAACACAGAAGTGCTTTGTGCTCAGACGTGATGGCTGGGAAGTGAGGGCGCTGGGTCCTTGCAAGCCTCGCAGGGAAGCTGGAATTACCCTTACGTTGTGCTGGGTTGGGTACTGATGTGGTAACAAAGGATCAAAGTTCTCTTTCTGAGGAGATTTCTCTCCCACATCTCCACCCCATTGTTTCACTCTGGAAGGCCAAGTTCAGGAATTTCCGCAGCCAAGGCACCAGGGCAGGAACAAGGTCCCCAGGAACCTTGTGACTCAGGATTACGGGAGCAGAACCCGAGTCCCCTGCAGTCTCTGCGGTCTGAGGGGCCAGGTGTTCAGAGCTCTGTCAGTTCTGGCCCGTGATAGGAAGGGCCACCCTTGCCCTCATCTGGCTTAAGGACCCTCAGGGGTACTGGCCAGGATGCGGGTCCCTCAGCACCAGCATTCCTCACTTTTCAACATTCAGGTCAGGTGGACAAGTGGGTGGTGAAATAATGGCAGTTTAGCTGTGTTTTGAGATGCTGTGGAAGAATGAACTTCATGACAACGTTTGAATATTTGCGTAAAGTCGATGCTGCTTTCGAACCTGCTTGATGGCTCTGAGCTGAGGGGGCTTCTAATAACGGAAAACGCCATGGAGCCCCCACTGAGGTAACACTGCCATCTTAAGGCCTTCATGACGGAGCCTCCGTACTGAGCCCGGGGGGCGCGGTGTCTGTCTGGACGAGCCTCGGGCGCGGACGCCCTGCACGTTTATGGGATTTCACTATTTCCATGGAACGGCACCACCCAGGCAGCATCTCTGTGACGGGCTCCTCGGAAATGGTCTCTCTATGGAGACTGAAATCTTAGCGTCTGTTAGGTTAAATTTGGGGACTGCTCCAAACTCTTCTCCCTCTTAGAGATGTCGCAGGCACAGGCTCGGAGACCTCCTGCACTAAAGAACAGCCCCACGTGTGCTCCACTCATCTTTGACCCGGATTTTCGAAACTTGTCTCGATACACATTACCGCTTTTAATGTAATTTTTGAAGAGAGCCCTACACTCCAGAAAGCTGGAAATTGTAGGACTGTCCCAAAGGCCACACAGGGTGGATGCTGGGAGACCAAGCGCAGGGCTGGGGAAGGGGCGGGGCGGGGGGCAGAGGGCTGAACTGCCACACAGGGGTCTGCGGAAAAGAGCAGATGGATGACACGTCCTCTGCTGCACTTTTTGTCACAAATGCGTTATTTCACTTCTAAGTTTGCTTTTTCTTCCCATTTTCGTCTTAAGACAACTTAAGGGGAAGATGCTGGGGAACTAGGCAGTAGTGATGAAGCCAATTGCAAAATCATTTCATGCATCCAAATCAGAAGAGCGAGGAGGTCGAAGGTGGAGGACGGCTGTTTACGGAATGAGGGCTGCTGAGGGGGGGCTGGGCGGGAAAGCCGAGGGAGCCTCAGATTTGCAAGGCAAGGGAAGGAGGGGCACTTTCCTTTCTAATCCTGGCCCTTCTCTTCATGCAGACAGACACCTGCCAAAAAGCCAAAAAGGCTTGACAAATGTGAGAGGCAATTATGACTCTCCCTGTGTGAGAGACGTCAGACCGATCAATCACTCGGATCGCGGCTCTGTCCATTCCCAGCACCCGGCTCTGGGATCAAGGGCAGCCCTCCCCTTCCCAGCCCGCTTGCATAAAGCTGGGCTTTATTTTATGTGCCAGGTAAAAGGAAGAGTGAATGTGATTTTGAAGCATAGCTAGGACAGTGGGCAGCACAGGCAGGCCGACAGGGGCCAGCGGGACACATGTGTCACGGAGGGGCTGTGGCAGAGCCAGCGGTGAGGTACCTGAAGCTATGGGATCGTGTGGGAGTTCTCAGAAAAAAAGGAACTTAGGTTCTTGCCAATCATCTGCTAACTTTCTTACTTTTCCCTCCCCACCACATTCAAGGGTGCTTGTTCACAGGGGAGACAGGGCAGGGGGGCAGGGAATCGATTGGAAAAATGCTCAGCTAACCCAACTTGGTGAGCTATGGAGGTATTCGCTCCCCAAACCAACCAGAGGTTGATCGGGTGGCCCCTAAGGACGGTCCGCAACTATGGAGGGCGAAAGTCCTCACTGGGGCTGAGGCTGCAGACTCTCACCCAGGCCCCTTGTGTGCAGCTGTTCTACCCACAGAACCAGAGCCACTGGGCCTACAGCGGGGCTGGCTTATGGGCGCCCTTTACTGTCTGTCCTCTGGCACCAGTACCATTGCCGATATGTAAGGAGTGCACCGCGATTTGTCTTGCACCTATGAGCCCTTCAGGAAATGGCTGTTTAGTGAATCAATGCATGAATGACTCTGTGACTTCGGTCAGGATGGTGGGTGGGTTGAACAAATATTTCTTAATCCAGCCAGACAATACCTTTTGATACAAATGGAACACAAGGAGAATTCCCACTTTCTCTGTTTATTCTCCCTCTGAAATGAATACTCTCCAGGGTCCCAAGGCCCATGATTCTACTTTTATAAATATAATTTCATTTCTCTTAGGTCCCAATGGCCAGAAAAAGTTTCAGAAATGGTCACATTTTACACTAATTCCATAAACAAAATATTGATAAAGTAAATGTTCCTCCCTGGGCTCTTGATGACTAATTAGAATCCCCATAGCCCGTTTAGGAGATATCCTTGAGGAGAAAAAAATTAAATGTCACTTCAACAGCTCAAATCCTTTTCTCCTGTCTCAGGATGTTTTGCCCATTGTAGAATGAAATATGAACAACCTTTTCATATATTTTTCCCTAATTCCAGTGTCTGCTTTCATACCTTCATACCTCTGTCTCTCTCTCATTCCCCTTTTCCTCTTCTCACTCACTCCTGCCTAATGACTCCTGACTCTCTTCTACCTTCCTTCCTGGGCCTCCCTCCCCCCTCCACCTCCCCCCACGACCCTACCCCTCTTTCACCGCCCAGCTCAGGGCTCAGCCTTACCAAAGAGTGTGATGCTGGCATTGGTGTGGCCCAGCTTGTTGGAGGCCACGCAAGTGTAGTTCCCATAGTCGTGTTCTGAGACATTGAAGAAGATGAGTTTGGAGAGGAAAGGTCTGTTTTCCACTTTAACCCCCTTCTTTCCTTCAACCAGCCTGAGACAAAGAAGAGAGAGACAAAACAAGAGGAAAAATAAAAGATGGTTAAATTTTCTCCTAGGAAGAAGATAGACTCTGGGATTAATTACTATCTCATTCTCTCTTTCTGACTTTATAACCACATTTCCCCCCACTCGCATGCACAGTAAGTTTACACACAATGACACACATAATTTTATTTCACTATTTGTAGACATGTGCCTGGAGATACTTGTGGCACTACACAGATATTCACCTCCCTATATGGGTATTTAAGATCTTTAAAAGCAGGTGTCTTCAGCCAATATAGTGTGCCAGCTGTGTGGCATTCAGAACTGTATTATTCACGGAGTTGGTGCTCAAAACTGCGGGCTTAATGGATGTTGATGATGATGATGATGATGATGAACATGGTGATGGTGATGATGATGGCAACCATGAAAATGAAAAACTCAAACTTCAAAGAGAAGACCAACCTGAGGGGTTTGAAGGAAAAAATAATGTTTTTCAAGCACCTGGGTAATCAAAGTTTCCCGTAAGAATCTGAGACATTCTACACATAATATCTTACTTTGGGCTGCAAATAGGAAGCAAGAACCAGGGATCCTTTTAAATCAGCGGACTCCGAGGAGCTCCAGAGAGGCGATCTGCCCAGCGTGCCATAGCAACTCAGCCCGAGAGGGATCACAGAGTCCTGAGGATGTGACCGTGCAGAGCCAGGACAGTTGGCCTGAGCAGGCCATTTGGGCAGTCCCATATGGCACAGGGCTCGCACTGGTGGCGGGGGCCACTAAAGAGGTGCCACAGAGTGTTATTGAGGACAGCAGTTAGATATGCGTATCAGAACCACAGGTTCCATTACTGGGGAGAGGGAGAGGGTAAGGAGGAAGCTGTCAGAGGGGTTAGGAAGGCTATAGTATATCCTCCACTGTACGAGGCTGTTAGCAACAACTGCTATTGCAATTGCATGTCTACATAGAAATCATGAGATCAACTGTCTTCTTTTGGAAAACTCTGGAATGTCCTATTTCAGAGAATGGGCTTTAAGTTAACTTTTTCCTTTTCCTGGAATAATCAGTCTTCCCTGCCCAGGAGTTGAGTCTGTGTTATGGGAAGAATGAATACTAGTGGGGGACACAAATCCTTCTGCACGGAGGGTCTCAGGGAACAGGGTTACAAACTGAGCTGCCTGTCTGCAGCCTGGCCGGAGCAGGGTGTGTAGAGAGTGAACAAGATCAAGATGGACACTTACTAGAATGGACTCTGGGGGCATGAATTGGGGCAAATGGCTGCTATCGAGTCATCACACCGGGAAAGGCAATATTCAAGGCAGAAATAAAGGGAAGCTTAGCAAGACAATGATGAGAAAAATGCTTTGCAAACCATAAAGCGTTATTCCATACGATGCAGTTCGATGGAGTTGAGATTGAGAGCCTGCCTGTCCTTGGGGCACAGCCAGGTTGGCGGAGAGGGCGGCTGCCCTGTTGTCACCTGAAGGCGGGGTCTCTGTAGGACTCGGGGCGCTTCCCTCCACTGGCCAAACTGACAGCGGCAGAGACCAGAAGAGAAGCGGGGCTCTGGCTGCGGTTCTCGCCCAACATCTGTCTCCAGGGAAGTCGAAGACTGGTTGGAGAAATTTGCCTTGCTTTTCATTATGTAGATTTTCCTCCGGGAGCTTTTCCTTTCAGGAGCAGTGAACTGGCCCTCGTCCATGAACTTCGTTAAAAATCGGAGCGCTCCGTGAATGGAATGAGGCCTCCGGCTGTGCGGCCAGGCCCGTTACATTCCCAGCTTGTTATGTAGACATTGATCCTCTAGGGGGTGCTGTCCAAAGACGGTTGTGCAGCCCGCCCATCGGGAGGCTCTGTGAGCTCCTCCAGCTTATTGATCCCATTTGCCATTTTGATGCCATTCCTGGGTTGGGGCGAAGGCTTCACACACCACCAGGCTGTGAATTAGATTCCCGCCCTGTGGTGAGGAGAGACACTTACCCGAAGCAGGTTTGTACTTGACAGCTCTGAAATGTCTGGAGCTAAAAAAGAAAAAAAAAAATGCCAGCAACATTTTGCGCCACTTTGCAGCTTCTGGGATGACACACGTTCCTTTTCCCTGTGTGGTCACACATTTCCCATCCCACACTGCTGCCAGGCTTCGGTCTCTTAATGAACCTGTAGGCTTTTATTGGCCGGTGTCCTTGTGCACAGGTCGCCCTTCTTATTCCATTCTCTCCCTTTGACTGACGTCTCACACAGCGCCATGCAGTCGCAAAGCGGCTTTTACCCTGACACGGGAGAACGCTGCGCTCTCCGTCCCACGCAGTCCTTCGGCTTCTGAAGTCCACTCATCTCCCTGGAGCCGCGAGCCGGGTTAGAGCGGATCTCCTCCAGGCGGGGGTAAGGCGCCGCCCTCGGAGACCCGCCGGGAGGAGGCTCGGGCGGCCAGCGGCACGGCAAGGACAGGCAGCGACAAGGGCCGCGAAGGCAGAAACGTTCTGTTGAACTGGCTGCCACGAGGACGGACAACTCTATTCAGGAGGAGAAGGCTGGAAATGAAGAAATGAGCAGCAAGTGGAAAACGGACCAGAATTAGTTATATGGGAGGAAAAAAAGCTGCCATGAGTAGAACTCGGACAAAGGAGGGATCCAAGCTGCCTGAGCCTGAGCCAGGGGCCTCCGAAGACCCTCCGAGGGGCGCTCTCCGTCCGGTCCCAGGGGAGCCGGCGCGCTCCGCCGCCGCCAACGCCCGCCGGCCGGCCAGCCGGAGCCCGCTCGCAGGGCCAGGGTGCCCGCCGCTGCCTCTACTTTCCTCCACAAACGTTAAGATCCTGCTGTCCCATACATTTGGCTTGTATTTTTCTTCTATCCAAAGTTAGAAAAACAGAATGCAGCGGGTTAGTTTTCATGAAGAACTAGACAATGGAAGGTTCAGGAACTGACCCTGAGCTCTGTATTTTTTTTTTTTTTTTCCTTTGATACGAGACATTCAGATGGAAGGTCCTTCAAGGAGTTGGAAGAAGGGACAGGTGAAGCAGGCCTTCGAAGAAAGACAACCATGTTTTTTATTGAGAAAACTATTATCCTTTCTGCTTGATTCTGAATTCTTGGGAAAGGAGGGAAAAGCAGCTATTCTTCTTATCTCTTTATGAGTTTGTTCTCCTCTTTCTGCTCCAGTTCTTCCATCCATAAAATGGGCTAGATGACACCTTTCCAGAAGCTGCAGGAATTTGTACTCACAGACGGAAATGTGCTGAATCTGTTTGAAATGGTTATAAGATACCATGAATCTTATGACTAAGTGAGTTGGTCCTAAACAAAGTTGGATCATTGACTGAAAGACCGGAAGAGCATCCGGTGTCTAACTGAGCTCATCAAGAAGGAGGCCCGAGCCCGCCGGAGACATCCTGCGTCATGCGGGCCACAGCCGGCTCCCTGCGGCCCGGAACCGCGCGCTGCCCTCCTTCTCACCATCGCCCACGCTGCTGCTTCTTTCTCAGCTTCCCAGCCTCCGAAACTCCTTCCTCCTTCTCCACCCCACACACACCTCAGGACATTTTTGCACCATTCCCTCTGGGTCTTTATAAAAGTGTTTTGAATATGGACACATTGATTGGTTGCTCATCCACCTTAAAGAGCTATTTGTAACAGCAATGACTGCGGTGCCTGGCTGTGCCGAGCTGCTGAACCTGGTGCTAACATGCCATTTGATAGCTCCTGGCAACGCCGGTCGTCAGTGAATCCCAACAAATATCCTGATGACGGCTACAGCGATGAGCACGAAGGGAAGAGTTCCCTGTCTTTTTTCCTGCAGTGTGAGAACAACCTGGGTACAAAGGGAGGGCTAAATAGGGTCATGGACTCATAGACCGATTCTGAAGTGTCTGCAGCAGAACTGAGACCTCGAGCTACAGCTGACTTCTGAGCCATCCCTAGTGCCCCGTGAATGACCTTAACACCCAGTGCACTCCTGAGAATGTGTTAACAGTAGCTTCAGGCAGAACGTATCATTGTCTTGGCCTATAAAAAATTCCACAGGCCTTACAGTGCTCCCAGTGGCCTTTCCCATGAGATTTGGCTTCCCTGCAAAAGTGTTTTCTTTCAGGCCTGTTAGTTGGTGAGAGCTGATTCTGAATGGTGACAGGGGAAGCATCGCTACAATTCATTAATGTTAAGAAAAGACTTGTTCGTATATTGTTTTCCCCTTATAAGTAGGGGCAATTCAGAGAAGATTTTACAGGGACTCATTTGCAGGCACCTGGAATCGGAACCTAGAAGAGATGGCTCCTTCTTTGGGTGTGGGGGCGGGGGGAGAGAGGGAGGGGTCTTTACCTTTTGTCATCCTTGTACCACTGGAATTCTGCTGAGGGAACTGCTGAGGCTTCACACTGCAGTGTCCCCTTTTGTCCCACGGGGACGCCTGTACCCTTAGCTTCTGAAATGTATGGCGGATCTGCAGAGAGAAGACATCCTGTAGCATTGAAAATGCATTCTAAAATGAGACCGGCTGCTTCACTCACTGATTTTATTTCTTATTCTCTGATCTCCCTCACTTACTTGAGCTGACAAATCATCATACAAATTGTGCTACAGAATGAAACCACTTAAGGGATATCTGAGAAAAAAACCTAGTCTTCCTAGGATGTAAAGCTTCTGTTCCCTTCCGATCTGAGCAGAGGTGGAATGACCAGGTTTTCGGGCCTATTTCCTGTTTCAACTTTTTCACTTTCACAGGATGATGCCAGCCCATCAACCTCACACTCTATGGGTTGACAGTACTTTTAATCAGCCTTATAGGATTTCTGCAAACCAGGTTCTTGCCAAAGTATATAATCTCATACTATTCAATTCCCATCAAAAGCTCAGTTGCAAAAAATAATATTCATGGAGAATTGCCTGAATGATATACAGATCCGACTTTCTTCCTGGTATTCTAAAATGGATGCCCGAATCAAGCCAGACCGAAGTAGACCTATATACTTGGCCTACATTCATCTGAAGTTTTCACCTAACGCTTGACACTTCCAACAGTTTGCAATGAAATGCATTATGAAAAACAGCCATGACAAACTTGCCATTCTACTTAATACAGAAATAACGTATGCAATGTTGTTGACTACATTTCAAATGCTTTACTTGTGGAGACCCTAAAGATAAAATTCTCTGGGTCTCAGCACCAGGAGAAGCAGTGTTTCTACCAAGCAACTAGTTTGCTTTCATCTTATGGATATAAACTTTAAAACGGATGATGTTTTCTCTCTTTGCTTTGGCAACTCAAAACCAAGTCCTGGATCCATATCTAACCACCTGTGGTATGTATTTACATGCTGACTTATTCCTAGGTTGCACATATTTTTCTAAATATGTTTTCCCTTGGCTTATATTTCCTTACTCCTTAGGTCAGTCTTTATTTACTGTAAGTCATTTGAGTCCCTTTAAAAAAATTGTGGCGGGGTACAAAATATGGTAGCATTGTTATACCTGTTTTCTTGCTTCTTAAAGTGTTTTGTATTAATTAGGCTCAAATTGTAATGGAAATCAAAATGTTAGAATAAAGAAAATATAGAACATTCTTCCTCTATATCCACCCACCTGAGTTTTGAAAAGGAAAGGCTTATTGTTTGTTGGTTTAGTTCTTGGGTTCTATTCAGTCTCAAGATTTCCTCAAGTGGGTTCCGTAGAGAAAACTTTCAGAATGGCATAAAGTACCGAGTCAGCGTACACAATGAGGAATCACGTGGGGAAAAGGTGAGAGAGAGGTGCGGAAGTTGAGTAGTATCGATGTCGGAGAGAGTCGGATGGTTGACAAAGGAGCATGAGTGACTTAGAGTGACCTAGAATGGTGGCCTCCAAACTTTTTAGATTCTGTAGCTCTATTAGTCAAAGTCAGGTTTTAAGAGACACTCTCTAATATGTGTGTGTTTATGTATATTTAAACTATGGCTGGATAAGCACATCAACATATATAATTTGAAAAGATAATTTCCTTCATAGATATTGTATCTCTGCTCCCCATTATGGAGATTACTGATCTAGAAAGTACGAAGCTTGGGGACATCATGAGCAAAGTAAGGGAAAGCTGGGATTTGAAGACATGTTTATATAAATTATGCATCAAAGGCCATGTAATGATCTTCTGGGAAGGTAAGTCGAGTTTGGGATTATGTTACATTACATTCAGCTACATTTGTTTTGGTTTGGTTTGGTTTTAAATTATAGTTTGGAATTGCTGCTCTTCAAGGTGGACAGTCAACGAGGATGCCACATGACTCCCATCCTGTCAGGAGCCGGCTGTGATCCAGCTCCTTCCTGGGGCCATGACAGCAGCCAGCCTCCTGTCCCCACAGAGGGGGTTCCCGACGCCACTTACAGTTCACGGTGACCTTGACCCTCCGCACCACGGGCGCGGCCACGTCGTTGGAGGCGCTGCACTCGTAGTCCCCGGACTGCTCCCTCGTGATGCCCTGGATTTCCAAGTACTCGTCTTCGCTCACAAAGCCCACGGCTGCAGCAGGGGGAGGTGCGACAAGACGGAAAAAACAGAAAACAAACACACACCCAAGGTGTGCTCTTAGAAGGCAAAGGCTACCGGGGTTATGTCTGCCAGGTCTAAGTGCGGATTCCTTGGAACAACGCGGCCCCTCACCGCCCCAGCTCCTCCACCACCTCCACCACCACCATTCCCTTCGTTCCCCAGTAGATGAGCTGAGATGCTTGTGTTCCTACCTGGTCCAAACAAAATTACTGGGCCTCATAAGTGATTCGTAATTGTGACATTTACACTGCCTAGACCTTATTAAGCAGTCGGGCTCTGGGATCTGAGCTAGACCCCTGAGGTGTGTAATAATTCTTTATGATCCACATATTGTGTAGACCGAACCTTGAAGTGTAAAGCTAACGACTGCGTTCTAGACCATGAACCAATTAAAAATACTACAACAGCAGTTACATACATACATGCATGACACAGGCGGCAGTGAAAGCATTAATAAAATAAATTTTAATTTATCCACTGATAAGCAAAAATCAATTTTCTAAACTTTGGTCTGCTAGAGCTCTTGGGTTCCTGAAGACAAACCAGCAACAGGGCCCCACACTCTAATCGCAAACCTGGCAGAAAGGAAAGAGCAAGAAGACATGATTACAAATCCTACTCTGCCACTTCATCTTCCCCACAACCCATTTTTGTATTGAAAAACTGTGAATAATAACAAGAACCCTGTACCTACTAGACTTCCCATCGGAGGTCTGACTGTGAGACCACACTGCTGAAGCCTAGGAGACAGGTTTCTTGGTTGTTTCCCCCAGGCACCCTGAGCTCAGCCTCCATGTGGAAAGACAATGGAGAACAAAAGCAATCGCCCCATCCCAGGAAAGTGTCCTGCCTCCTCTGTTACATGAAGTAATCAGCATGATGATGCCTTTATCATGTAAACTTGGATATTTTTAAGAGTAGAAGGGGGTGCTATTAATATTATGGGACAATAAGCATTAGTTGAGACTGTCATTAGCAACTGAGAGACATTATCCCAGGCATAATATACATTAAACCCTAACACCTCAGAGGGTTTTTGGAGTGACAAATGAAAAACTATATATATTGTACACGATAGCACTTCGAAAACTTTCATGCACTGCACACCGGTGCTTTAGTTGGTAATCCTGTAATCTGTCTGGGGCACAGACCCAGGTGGAGTGAAGCTGTATTCAACACGGGTGGCTCCACAGGAACAGAAAAGGGAAGAAAGGAACATTCTCTCCAGGTGACAGAACCGCTCCATAATGCCACATGTATCTGCTCTTCCAAAGCATGAAAATAACAACATGAAGAAACTAATAAAATGCAAAGAATGAGAAATGTGCACGTAAGTTATAGTCATATTTGTTACGTGACATCAAGGTCACCATTTTTGTCAAGAGAACAATAGTAGTAATAACAACAACAACCATAACAAAACAACTGTCTTGTAAAAAAGGGCCACTACCTGCCAGCTCTGCCACCACTCCTTGGACATAACCACCCTGTGCTGCCAGCCAGTAATAAGCCCAGCCTGAGCACTTCTCACATAGTCTCACACAGCAGGAAACCCACACGTTGCATGTGCAGGAACTTGACTGCCTGCAGAAGAGCAAAAGAACAACCTGCATCTACTAAAACAAGTAAGCAAGAGGTACAAACTCTCAGGAAGAATCAGGAACGTGCGAATAAGTAGAAAACAGGGCCAGCATTTCCAGGAGGTGGAGAGGGCAATCGACATTAAATAAAAAAAACTCAATAGTCTCAACCAGTAAGGAACTTCTAATTGTCACAGTCGCCTTTTTGTTATTGTTTCCGAAGCATCTTTAGGGAAAGAAGTACTAAACTTGACTTGAGGAAAGATGAAGAAAATCAGGAGAAAAGGTTTAAACAAAGAATTTGAGATTCCTGCCCTGACCAGTGTGGTTTAGCTGGTTAAGAGTTGTCCTGCAAACCAAAAGGTCACCAGTTTGATTGTTGATCAGGGCACATGTCTGGGTTGTGGGTCTGATTCCAATTAGGGCGCAAACAAGAGGCAACCTATCGATGTTCTCTCTCACATTGATGTTTCTCTCCCCCCGTCTCCCTCCCTTCCCCCTCTCTAAAAATAAATAAATAAAACCTTAAAAAAAGAATTTCTGATTCCTTTTATCTTGTTGTTGTTTATTTGCTACTAGATTCAAGCCTCCATTTGTCAGATCTTCCCCCGCTAGAATGCTATAATTACTGTGCAAAGCATCGCCGAGACCAGTGTCACACTTAATATTCCCATTAATTTTAAATGGTAGTCCTTGATACATATGTGTGGCAATTGATGTCATATTTTAATTAGGCTTGCCCTACACCATCTGAAATTAATAATAGCTTGAATTACCAGTGTAATTTATAAATTAACAGTGCCATAGCATTAGGAAATAAATTAGTTCTGGACAGCTGTTTCTGGACTGAGCTCCAGCATCCGAGCAGTGGCTGGTAGGACCTTGGATGTCCCAGAAGGCTGTGTACTACACCACTACTGCAGGGAAATGAAAGTCCACAGGGCTCTCTGGGCCCCTGTCCTTCTCTCCAACTGGAGACTAAACACCTATTTTAATTCTACCATCCAAATATGTTCTTGTGAGACCACAGTAAGATTTACAGGGACCCAGCTTAAATGAGCTTGTTACAAGGATACCCAAGTGGAGAAGCCAGTAGGGAGATGACAGTTATAGCCTAAAATGCAAGTTCACACATATTAGGGTAATCACAATAAAAAAGTTGTCAAGTTTCAAGTGAAGATGTATAATTGTATTTATTAGTATCAGAAAATATTATGTAGGGAAAGAAGTAAGGACAGCTTAAGATTTGGAGAAGGCAAAATTTCTCCACTGATCCAGATTTTAATACCATAGGGAGGGAATTTACTCTGAGGTCACCCTGCAAACAACAATGAACCCTCAATTTTAATATCATGTGTTCCCCTGACCAAATGCAGAACTATAGAAAAACCATAATGACTTCACTGCTCACCAGTTACATGTACATTCTGATTCAGTTGGGTGAGGCTTGTGCCAACTAATTTGTATAGAGTAAAATGTTTTATGTATTTTAGTTTTCCTTGCCATTATTTTTTACCTCTCTTCCTACATACATTTTTCTCTATTAAAAGCACAGATGGCAAAACCATGGAGAAAGATAATCAGTATGTACATAACAAATTAAACTTTGAACCACTAGAAATGAGATTCCTATGGGTGCCGCCTAAGACAAACAAATAAGCAAGAAAACAAAAAAAAATTAAACTGAAATATGAATTTACAGAATTAATAATTCAAGGAAAGTTTTCCTTTAACATCATTTGTGCTCTGGCTGTGAAATCATCAATGCATTTTCACTTCTAGGAAAACTTACAAAGAATATTTTTTAAAAAAATCACCAGAGTATACCTTTTTAAAGTGATAAAGGAAGTTCTTGGTTAAGAGATACCAGTGGGAAAGAGGCAAATCACTTGATAAAACCCTATGAAAAGAAACTCTTCATGGTCAATAGCTTCTGGTTTATACATCTTTTCTACAGAAAATGTATCCTTGGGTAGAAATGACACCCTCATTTCCTAAAATATCCCCTTCATCATGTCACACCTTTTCAGGCACTAAAAGTGATTCCCTGTTTTCTGTAACACTGAACACAAACTCCACATCCTTATCAAAGCCCTCCACAAAGTGGCCCAATCCACTCATCCAAGTTTAACTCACATTCGTGCCATGAGAAAGGCAACAGATCATCACGGTAAAAAGCAAAAGTTTCGGATCAGACAAACCCTGTCCTCTACTTTCAACTTTCATGATGCAGTGACTCTTCTGTGCCACCATTGCTTCATCCCTACCCCTCATAGTGACATGACTGTCCTCTAGGGTTGCTTTGAGAACAGAGTGCACAGTAAAAGGCACGTGGGTGAGTTTCTGTAGGTGTTACCCACTATGGTCCCCATTATCACCAGCACCACATCTACGACTCTTTTTAAAAATAGAAATGCTATTTTGTTTTTATTTTTGAATGTGTTTTATTAAAATATAGTTAATGGACAATATTATATTAGTTTTAGGTGTACAACATAGTTATGCAACATTTATATACCTAACGAAATGACCACCATAATGTCTAGTACCCATCTGACACCATGCAAAGGTTTTACAAAATTATTGACTATATTCCCTATGCTGCACTTAACGCCCCCATAACTTGTCAACTTTCTATCTGGAAATGTATTAGGCTTATTCTTCTTTGCCTTTTGTGTCTTCCCTCCCCTGCCCCCTTCCCTTCTGGCAACCATCAGTCTGTTCTCTATGTCTGAGTCTGTTTCTGTTTTGTTTGTTTTATTTTTTAGGTTCCACATTGTAAGTGAAATCACACGGTGTTTTTTCCTCTCTGACTTATTTCCCTTAGGTCCATCTATGTTGTCGCACATGGAAAGATTTAATTCCTTTTTATGGCTGAGTCTCATTCGCGCACACACACATCTCACATCTTCATCTATTCATCATCTGTCCATGGACACTTAGATAGTGAGGTTGCTTCCATAACTTGGCTATTGTAAATAATGTTGCAATGAACAGGAAGGTGTGAATATCTCCTGAATTAGTGTTTTTGTTTTATTTGGATTGATATCCAGAAGTGGAATTGTGGGGTCATATGGCAGTTGTATCTTAAATTCCGTGAGGAACCTCCATGCTGTTTTCCACGCTGGCTGCACCGCCTTGCCCTCCCATCCACAGCATCTACCACAGTTCTCAAGTCAGGACGTACTATTTCTTATCGTGGACAAACATGATAATTTCTTTTCTATAAATCGACGCTATCACTTAGAAAGCTAGGCTCTTTCTGCCTTCCTAAGTGAAGACCACCTAGCTCTCAAGTCCTTATTCTTCCATGAAAACTCCCTGTTAGGAGTTGAATTAGGTCTCCCTAAAACCATATACTGAGAACCTCACCATCAACATCTCATAATG